GAGGATAAAACTGGGGCTGAGAGACAAATAGATTTGGGGGCCCAGAGCCTGGGCAAGACCCCAGGTCTCCTGACTGATAATCTAGTTTTCTTTTTTTTTTCTTTTCTTTTTTTTGGGGGGAGGGCTAGGCAATGGGGTTAAGTGACTTGCCCAGGGTCACACAGCTAGTAAGTGTTATGTGTCTGAGGCCAAATTTGAACTCAGGTCCTCCTGAATCCAGAGCCGGTGCTCTATCCACTGCACCACCTAGCTGCCCCCCTAATAATCTGGTTTTCTAACAGGAAAACAACAAAAGGTTGCAATCAATCATTTGTAAAAGGCAGTGTGCGGGGATGAAAAGATCATTGGATTTGTGGACAGAGGACCTCAGTTCAAATGGAGGCTCAGCTATCTATTTCCGGTTGCGACCTCACTTCTCTTTAGGCCTCAGTATCTTCTGTAAAATGAAGCATTCGGGCTAGATGACTGCTAACATCCCTTCTAGCTCTAACATGCATAATGATTCAACAGAAACAAAAAAATACATATTACCAGATGAATTCCCAAAAGGCCCAGTATTGGACGCCACCCTTAGGAGCGTCTGTACCCTTTATCAGCCTCCAGTGCCCGAGGCTAGTGACCCTGAGACTGACCCTCTGCAAACTTTGGGCCTTGCCTCAGACTCTAGGCTAGACCTCTCTGCACCCACCCTGTTGACCAGCTGTGGAGCAGCCCTGACTGATGTGAGCCCTGCCACCTCGGGAATGTCTCTGCTCCCTTTTTCGCCCTCAGGAACTTGTACAAGCATCCAGGGAACGAGCGCAATTGTCCTGTCTTCAGCTCTGATCAGTCCATTTCTGAAGATTATGTCATGTTCTGCACTACTTATTTTAGAAAGGATAGTGAACAGTCGGAATGGGCCCAGAAGAGAGTTACCAGATTGATGAGGGACTACAGTGCACATAATTCAAGGATCGTTTGAAGGAATTAGAGGTGTGCAGCCTAGAAAAGGAAAGACTGGGTTGGGGAGGAGTGGGAGGAAGGGATGACACAGGTTTTCAGATATTGGAAGAGGGATTACCCTTATTCCACTTGACTCCAGAGGAGAGAATTAAGAACAAGGCTGGGTGTTGCAGATACCTGTTGACTTGATAGAAGGAAAAACTTCCTTGTACAAAGTTAGAGCTGTCTCTGTTTGATGGGATGCCACAGGAAGCAGTGGGAATGCCCAAGAAGCTCCGTGATCACGCACCAGAGATTCAACAAAAGGTGGGGAAGTGTGTGGGAATTCTGACTTGGGAAGAGGTTAGACTAGTCTCCTCTGAGGTCTCCTCCAGCCCTGTAGTCTAGGATTCTCTAGCCCATTTCTTCGCCCACTTATACCACCTACCTCTTCCTGCCCTCCGGCCTCTCAAAGCCTGTTGCTCCTCTGTGCTCCAGTCTCTTCCTCCACCTCTCTCTAGCTCTGTGGAGGCTCCTCCTTTCCCAGGCCTCTGGCCTATACACCCACACACTGATGGGAAGAACTTACTGGGAGTGGGAAGGAGAGGAGGGGAAGGATGTCGGAAAAAAGGGGGCAGGGAGGTCATCTGGACTCTAAACCCAAAGCCCGTTTGTGACCTCAGCTGGGGGCCACTCCCAGAATTCCACAGCAGGCTCTTTGCAGAGCTTGTGAACGAGGCTCCCAAGGGGCTCCCTTGGTGCTGTTGATGAATTGCATTCCTAAGAGAGGGCAGATTATTTGTGAGGCGAGTTCCCCAGAGAGCCTCAGACCTACAAACAGGCTCAAGCCTTGGTAGGCCCGTTTGCTGTTGGCCAGGAAAAGAAGCATAAGAAGGAAGGCAAAGGGCAGGTTTCAGTAGAGCCACAGAAGAGGGAGGAAAGGGGGGAGAGGGAAGGTCCCAGAGTGTCCCATGGGAGGGCTCAGGGCAGGAGCTGGCTGAAAACGGAAGCTTGATGGAGCAAGGAGGTAGGCGCCGTCGGAAGGCAGTAGCATTGTGTGCAAAACGTGCCCTGTTTCTGAAGTGTCTGGACTCAAGGATCTCTAAGCAATCATGAACCAGGAGTTTGGTTACTTTTTGAGGATTCTTGGAAAGGGGCAAAGTGCCAACAGAGCATAGATCTAGAGCTGGGAAAGACCCCAGAGGCCACCTAGTCTCACTTTTTAATTTCACAGACAAGGAAACTGAGGCCCAGGAAGATTCAGTGATTTACCCAAGGTCACGCAGAGAGTGCCTGCCAGAGGTAAGATTGGAACCGAGGTCCTCTGTCTCTGGAGCCAATGCTCTTGCCACTGTACCAGTGGGTTGGAAGATAACATCAAACAAACAACGAAAACAAAAAAAGTTCAGCGTCTTTCAAGCATAACCCCTAATTCTCACCATCCCCTAAAGTGAGGCCTCCAAGTACCCCAACTGCCAGGCTGTCGGAGATCATGATGCCCCCCTGAAAAGGAGAAACACTGTTATTCAAGGGCCTTGCCCCACCTAGCTAAGTTCTCCACAGTCACAGGCCCCACAAAATATACTCTTGGTTGAAAAAAGTGAAAAGTAACTAGAAATAGATTACTGTTGAGGGGAGGGGAGAGTGTATAGTTTTATTTGTTATTATTGTGAAACGTATAGTCTACAAAAAGAAAGAAAGAAAGAAAGAAAGAAAGAAAAAACAGGCCTAAGCTTTGGGCTCTGAGAAATTTTCCCATTGCCTTATCAGGAACTACCAAAACAGTCATGCCTATGCCTCTTTTACTGCATCTATTTCTCTGCATGGCCAAATCTTGAAGATACAGAAGTGCAGCATTCTATTCAGAAGCACATTGAAGCAGCAGCCCCTCTAGCCTTCTGACCAACAGGTCCCTGCTGAGGTAGGGGGTGAGCTCAGGCATGAGAATCGATTAAGATCATTTGTTAAAAATTATTAGCTTGGCTTTGGAATTACGCAAAGAAAAGTGATATCCATAAAATGTCCTTACCTCTTTTACCCAGAGATTCTACTACTAGGTTATATAGCCCAAGAAGCTAATTGATAAAAAGAAAGGCTCTATATACACCAAAATATTTACAGCAGTACTTTTGGTGGTAGCAAAGACCTGGAAACAAAGTAGATGCCCATCAATTGGGGAAATGCCTAACAAGATGTAGTGCATGAACAGAGCTGTATAATTTCTTGTATCCTCAATGCCTAGAACAGTATCTGGCACATAAGTGTTTAAATACTGCTCATTGATGAAGTAACAAACAATGCATATGAAGAATACCTAGAAGCCTGGTAACACTTATTTGGGATGACTCATATGAACTGATGCAAAGTGAAGTAAACAGAAACAGGAAAACAACATAGCCAATGATTACAACAATGTGAGTGGTAAGAATGCTAACAACTAGACAATAGAAACTGCTGTGAAATTACAATGATCATGTCTATCAAAAAGGAGGTAAAAGGATGCACCTCCCCCCCCCCCTTTGTAGAGATGGGGACTGTGGTTATAGAACGCTACACAGGTCAGTTTTTTTTCCACATGCTGGTGAGTTTTGCTGAATTTTTCCCCCTCTTTTTTATTTCCAGTTCTAAGGAATAGATCTCTGGGTGGGCAAAGAGAAGGGAAAGGGAAGGATATATTTGAATACGTCAAATGTGAGAACAAAATGTATCCATTAATTTTTGTTTTTTTGCAAAAAGAAATTACCTTGGGAAAAGTCATTGGAAACCATCTCCTCATCAAATAAATACACATAAATTCACAAATACATAAACACTTTCCTTCTCAAATCTGACAGAGAAGATGCAGCTCAGACAACGCAGCAAGCTGTTGGACCAACAATTAAGAGAACTGGGTTGAAATCCGTGCTCCGCCATTGACTCATTATGAGACTTTGGGCAAATGATTTCTCTTCTTCAAGTCTCAGTTTGTTCATTTCTACGGTAATTGAAGCCAAAGATCTCTGAGATGCATTCCAGCTGTAAATCCTCTGACTAGGAGGCAGGAGAACTGTGTTTATCTTCTAGTATAACCTTAAGTAAATCATTTTCCCATCTTAGAGTTCGGTTTCCTCTGAGGAGGAAAGGTAGCACATTCTAAGGGAAAGGAGCATGGGATTTGAGATCGGAGGACCTGAGTTCAAATTCAGCCTAGCTTTACTATGTATTGTCTGTGAGTAAATTGTGACAAGTTACCCTGGGCTGTTCTCAAGGCTCCCATTTCTTCCTGTGCTGGAACAGAAGATCTGCACAGGTCTTTCTGACTCTTGAGCCTCTCTTTTCTAAGTTCTCTTCCAGATCTGACATTCTATGATTCTAGGTTGGGGAAGGGCCAAGTATGCATTGAAGGAAACTTTCCTAACTTCAAACTATTGCAGCTAATGAAACTCTTTCGCAAGCCAAGGTTTAAAAAATAAATAAATAAACTTAATCATCTACAGACAATCCCTCTGATGAGAGGAAGCTGGGAGCTGAATCACCCCCTTCCTGGTTCCAGCCGTGTGTAGGGACCTAGTCTGTCTAGACACAGCTTTTAGGAAGCGGCATTATGGGCTCTTTCCCCTGAATTCCTGATACTTTCAGCTTAGAAGAACTTTGACTCATTCTCTGCAATTGCGTGAGGGAACAAAGAGGAGGTTCCTGCAGCTGGGTCACACGTGTACAGAGGCCCACCCTTCACATGTGTGTTAGAATGCATGTGCATGATAACATGCATACATATGGCCAATACACACCTTAGTTCAAGTATAGCTAAGGGTCAGTCAATCAATTAACAAGCATTTATGAAGTGTTTCCTATGTTCCAGACACTACGCTAATTGCTGTAGATGTGAAGAGGGGCAAAGATACCATCTCTCTTCTCAAACAGCTTACCTTCTAATGAGGTAGAAAACATGTAATTTACTAGGTGTATAAAAGATATACACAGCATAAAAAACATCTGAGAGGTGAAGGAGGAAGAGGGTTCTTGGAAAAAGTGGGATTTGAGTTGAATATTAAAAGAAACCAGAGAAACCAAGAGCATACATCTATATACAGACATACCTGAAGATGCCACACAGCAATGCCAAAGCTAAAAGTATTTCTTCACTTTCATCCCAAGTAACTGGCAGTGGACATGGAATGGTAGAGCTGGAATAACAATTATTATAATTATAGTAGCAGAAGTAGTAATAGCAGTAGTAAGTAGTGACAATAATGACAAAAATCCCCTTCCATAACAGTTTGCAGAATATTAAATGTAAGATAATCACAGCAGGATAGCAACTTGTTGTACGATTGTTTCCCAATGAAGAGAAGAATGAAAATAAAAAGCAGAACGATAGCTAGTGTTGGTACAGCACTTTAAGGCTTGAAAAGCTTTTTAAAATACATTATCTCACAAGATCCTCACAATAATTCTGAGATGGGTCCTGTAATCATCTCCATTGTACAGATGGGAAAATGAAGGCTCATAGAGAATAAGTGACTTGCCCATGGTCATTTAAATGGTGAAATTCGAATTCACGCTTCTCTTGAGTCCAAGTCAAGGACTTTTTCCCACTGTACCACAGTGCCTTCTAATTTTTTTTTCTTTTAACATAACATTCACATGGAACTTTTTAGTTCTGCAAAATGCTTTTTATGTTATATCATTTAACCCTCATAGCAACCACGGCAAATATATACAAGTATTATTATAATCTCCATCTCATAGATAAGGAAACTGCAGCTCAGAAAGGTTAAATTCCTTGACTATGCTCACATGGCTGATAAATGAGATATCTGAACCCAGAGTCTTCCTAACTCTTCCTGCTAGCAAGTGCCACGTCTGTCTCACGATATTTTTTCCCTTCAGTCTAACTCATGAAGAGTGTGTGTGGCAGTTTCCATCTCACTCACCTCTTTCTCACATCGTTCACAAACCAGAAAGGACTTTTGAAAATACATTGTTAGAAGCGAAAGGTACCTTCATCCAAAACTTTCACTTCACATATGGGAAAACTGAGACCCAAAGCCACATGGCTACTTAATGGCAAAACCCAACTATGAACTTTTTTGCTGTTTGAGACTTGAGTAACTCAGTTGTTCCCTTTGGATCGGACTATAGTCAGAGGATCATAGAATCTCCTGAAAGTAACCTCAGAGTTCATCTAGTCCATCCCCTTAAGTGAACAGGAATCTTATGGCCAGGATCCCTGAGAGGCAGTTATCCAACCTCTGCCTGAAAACACTCAAGCGACAAAGGGAAGCCCTACTTCCACAAGCAGACTACTCCATTTGGGGAAGGGTCTGATTGGAAAGAAGCTTTTCTTTCATATCAAGAGCAAATCTGCCTTCTCTACAATGTTTACCCAGTAGTCCTACCTATATCCTTTGCAGCAGAATAAATCTAATCCCTTGTCCATATGACAGCTCTTCAGATATTTGAATACTGTGATCATCTTCCCCCTCCCCCCATTAAGTTATCTCCAGACAAAATATCCCCAGTTCCTTCAACCGACCCTTATATGGCCTGGTTTACAGTCCCTGAGCCTGTTGTATTTTATTGAAAGAAAAGAAGGTATGAGATGAAGGGACCAATGAAAGGGAAGTCCTATTGGATAGAAGGGGAACCTTAAAGAGAAGTGAATTTCTAGCTTGGAATCTCAAGTTATAAACTGTCCCCTCCATTCCCTCCACTGCAGACATTCTGTGTTCTAACGTCTCTTTTAGACCTGTTCTTCTATGTTCTGTGCTCTAGAGTCAGTTTCCTCCTTTGGAAAATGATGGGTTTAGGATACATATAATTCGGAACTTTCCAGTTAGATTACTACCAGGGGCAATAAAGGAGGCAGAGGGAGCAGAAGGATCTTTTGGCCTAGGCTCAAAGGATGTCTTTAATCTACCCATTAGAAGAGTAACCCCCCCCATCTATGAGACAAAATTGTTAGAAGCTAGTTTTTCCCTTGATAGCACATTTTACAGAACAAAAGCCTAGAAAACCAACCATTTTACTAAATAAAAAAACACATTTTCAAATTACATTTCTTCTGTTTTTAAAGCTGATTTAATTTGGGTTATAGTAAGGGCTTTAAAAGTTGAACTTGGCCCTGGCCTCCCTGGAAATCTAAGAGCTCTTGCTCACTCTTCTCATAACTCTACTGAAACTGCTCTCTCCAAGGTCACTTATTACCTCTTTACCAAATCCAGTGTTCTTCTTCTTTGACCTCATCTTGCTTGGCTTCTCCATAGCATTTGACGGAGTAGAGCTCCATGCCCTCCACACCTTCATGAGACTCTCCTCCCTTGCCTCCTGTGACTGTGTATTCTCCCAGTTTTCCTCCACAGATTATTCATTCTGTCTTCCTCCCTTGCCCTCTTTTCTCTTCTTTGTCCCACCCCACCCTCCTCACATGCTCCTACACACACACACACACACACACACACACACACACACACACACACACACACCTGCTAAGTGCAGGCATTCTTCAAGGTCCTGTAATCTTTTCCCTTCTGTACAATTTCTCTGTGGAATTTGCCAATTCCCATGACTTGAACTACTCCTTCTATGTATGATGCCTGATAATCTTTTTCTTCAGCCCTGACCTCTCTCCTGCGCTCCAGTCCCACATCTCCAACCACCTACAGGTATATCTCCCCCTGTGTATTCCCCTGGGCCCTCTAATTCAATGTGTTCCAAACCAAATTCAACATCTTCTCCCTCACCACCTGCCCTTCCTCTTGATCCCCGTGTTTCTATTAGGGGCACTATCATGTACCCAGTCACTCAGGGTCTAAACCCTTTAAACCTTGGGTGTGAGGGAGAAGGAGGAGTCTAACATTTGACAAATCATGTCAATTCTTTCCTTACGAGGCCTCTCTCATCTATTTCTCCTTTGCCATTGCTACTGCCAGCACCCTAATTCAAACCTTCATCACATTCTATTTAAGCTATGGCAAGAGACCCTCAACTGTTCAGTCTGCTTCCAGTCTCCCTGTTGGACCTTCCCACTCCACTCCCCTTCCAATCTATTCAAAATATACTGACAAGACTCATCTTCCTCAAGCAGAGTATCCTCTGATCACATCACTCCCCTGCTCAAAAAGCCTTTACTTTCAGCTGTCTGAAAGGGGAAAAAAAGCCTTAATTCCTTAGCTTGACAATCAAGGCTTTCTGTAATCTGTCCCCAACCTACTTTTCTAGTTTTATTTTCTACTGCTTCATTACATTCCAGTGAAACTAAACTAGTCTTTGGAATAGTGACTCCAGAGAATAACATGACTCCAAGCTTTTGCGCACATCATTCTTTTCAATTGTAATACCCTCTCAACCCTCCAGCCTCACCTATAAAACCCTTAATTACTCTACAAGGCTCAGATCCAAAGCCACTCACTTCCATGAAGCCTTCCTTCATGCTTCTACTCCAGCCAGAAGGGCTTCTTCCCTCCCTTGCATTGTTATATTGTTCAATACTTTCTGCCTCATATTGGAAATACCTACATGTGTGTCCTATCTCCCTTAGCAGGTTTTTTTCTTAATGATGAAAAACATTTATTAAGACTTTTCTGTTTACCAAGCATTATGCTAAGCATTGGGGGAGATATCAGCTCCCATCTTCATGGATCAAGTAAGGGGATAAGACCTTTGCATATAGCTATAATGCACAATATTACGTACTGAGTATAAGAGACATTAACAAAACACAGTATGATATGAGAATGGAGAATAAAGGTTGTTACTGACCCAAGTATGAAAGGAGACTTCAGAAGGAGCTGGCCTTTCAAGGATGGACAAAAATTCAATACAGAAAGAGGGAAAGGAAGGCAGTCCAAGTATAAGGAACACTTAAGTAAGGACATGGACCCACACATAGGAGCACAGCATAGGGGGTGTCCATAGGACAAAAATCATTCAGCTTCATTGGAGCTCTGAGTTTGTGAAGGGAAGTATTATGTGAGAAAACTGAAAAGGTAGGGTGGCATCAAATTGTCCATGGCTTTGAATGCCATACAAAGGATTGAAATCTCCCTGAGAGAAGGGATCACATCTTATTCAACTTTGTATCCACCAGCACATCATAAGAAGGTGAAGGAACATATAATAAAGCTTTCAATACAAAGAACTGAACACAAATGAGTTATCAGTATTTATCCTTTTCTAGGCAAGTCTGAAATCAGGCTCCATAGCTAAATATACAAAATCTGGACAGGGATCAACACACTGTCCTTGAGCTAGGGAAGGAAAATGGTCTCCTTGAAAAGATTCATAAAATCCTACCACATAGAACATTAGAGTGGAAAGGATTATCAGAGCTGAAAGGGACCTTAGAACAAAAGATATGCAATGTTAGAGATGGAAGTGGCTTTAAAACAAAGAACATCAGAGCAGGACAACCTAAGCTAAGCAATAATTTAATCCAACACTCCTCTCCCACTTAATACATCAGGAAACTGGGTTACAGAAAGGGAAAATAAATTGCCTAAAGTCATACAGCAGAACTAAGATTAGAAACCAGGTCTTTTGACTCCCAAGAAAATGCTTGAGAACTAGAATGGCTCCCAAAACTGTAAGAATGCCTTCCATGTTTGACTTAGAGAGACATGCCAAGCTTGCCACACTCACTGTGTGGCCAGCTACCACGTAGGTAGAGCTAGAGGTGGTTTGGTGCTAGTGCTAATAGATCAAGATGTCTAAGAAGGGAGTCTCAAGGGTGCCCAGGAAGGTTGGGCACAGACATCTCCTTGTGGGAAACTCCTGGCCCTCTACTCAGGAGGAGGCCGGAGAGGCTAGACTACAATGGGGACCATTGAGGGGGCCCATGAGAGATTACTTAGTGTCTGTACAGGATCTTACCTGCCACAGATTGCATACTAAGAGGGCGAGGTGAGCTCTGGGGAAAGGGGAGGGATCCTAAGCCCACAGTCCTGGCAGCAGCATTGGCCTCCCTCCCAACACCAGCCTCAGTGCCTCTGTCCTGGAAAGCTCCAAGGAAAGGCTGAAAACTGTTCCCTGGCTTTAGAGGACCCAGCAGGATCACAGCCTGTAGCCTGATCCTGCCTGGATTATCTTTGGTGATATTCTACAAGGCAGGGGAACCCTGAGGTGACTTTCCAGGCTCCCTCCTGGTTTGTCATTTCTCCACACTGGAGAAACAGAGCTTCTTCAGCTCTCTTGAGCCAACCAAACCAAGGGAAGAAACAAGAGTGTTGAGACTCACACAGTGTTCCTTACCAACTGAGCCCCCCAATCCCTCGCCCCCTGCTCTAACTCCTTCCACCACAATGTCTCTCCTCATCCTATACCATCCTTAACCCTAGTCCTTAGTATCCTGAATCATACTTACCTGTAGACCCTGAATCACCCTATTATTCTTACCCGCTTCCCTCCAATACAATTCTGTCCCAAAGATTTTGTCCTTCATCCTCCTCTTGCTCCTCCTTATAAAAGATAGACTTGTAGCAAGGAAAATCTGGATTCAAATTCCATCTGACATTTAGCTATATGACTCTGAGCAAGTCATAAACTCTCTGGGACTCAGTTTCCTAATCTATACAATGAGTTGGTTGGAGTCAATGGCTTCCAAGGTTTCTTCTAGCTCTATGATCTCTATGATCCCTTTAACCTAATTTCTTTGTCCCTAACTCTAACTCTTTCCACCCCATCCCCTTCTTTCTCCTTTTTACCCCTTTCATTCTCTGGCTGTACTCTAAAGACCTAGCCCCACTCCAACCCTTCCTTTCATTTTCAGCCCTTATCCATACAATAACTCCTACCATATACACCTTGCCTCTTCTTCACCCATTCTAAGCCTCCTGACCCCAATTGTAACTCACTACACTTACTATCCTACATGTCTGCCCTGACCAGTGTTCCCCATCCTAAACTCATTTTGCTACAAATATTTCTTGCCATGACAACTACATATTCTTTGTAGGCACTCCCAATTTAAAGAAAAAATTGCCTTTTAACAAGGTTTATGAAAGGAACAAACTTTGACAGATCTTGGATCTTTATTTGGAGTTTATAAAACCTGGTCACACTATTCCCTAAATCTCTACACCTTTCCACCCTAAATACTCTATCATCCTAGATTCCCCACACCAGTCTCACCATACCCATCCTAATGCTCTCATACCCACCGTAGGCACACTGTCCCTTTCCTAAACACACTCAGTGAGAAAAATTCCCCAGTCTTAAAAACGCCCTAAGTCTTTATCCCTGCTCTGTATAGTAAGTACCTCCCTTATCACTACCCTATGCCTAGAATTTGTCTTTATTTTTTTTTCTGTTGCAGCTTCAGAAACAATACTTTTAAGACATACGACTCCTTGCCAGGCTATTGGCACCAATGAGTTAAAGATTTATCTGAGGAGTTGGCGAAAGAATGGGTGCTGCTGGGCATTAAAGGGCTGAGTTGGTGGAGGTCACCTGGCCAAGGAAGGTGGCATTTGTCTAAGGCTGGTATAACTCATGCTCAGGACAACTAGAACCTTAAGAACCCAACAGAGACTGAATGAAGGGGAATGAGGAGCAAAAACAGAGCCAGAAACCCTTACGATGGAAGAGACAAATCGATCTCTACCAGAGTCCCCTTGTTGCTTATCCTGTCAGGACTTACCTCTGCGGTCAAGGTCATGGCCTTAGCTCCATCCTGGTCCCACCCAGGCGGGATGGGCTGCATCTGGCATTCAGCTGGAGGGTGGGGGGAGGGGGGACTTGGATTGGGATGGGAAAAGAGGCCATCCATCCCTTTCCTTCAAACTATAAACTGCCACTGGGACCCCAAAGCTGCCACCAGCGCATTTTTAAACAGCTGCTAACCTGAGCCCCCTTCCCCCAAACTTCTCTCTGTCTCCCCAGCTAGAAAGCCCCTTTCTTCGTTTTACCTTATATGAGCTGAAAGAGGAGTCCAGGAGGCCTGAACTCTCTCTGTCCGGCCCTCCCAGGGCCCCCATTGGCCCTGGCCCGGCTCACGTGACCACCTCGCCTTGACCTGCCCGGGTTGGGGGAGTGTTGGCTTTACCCCCTAAGGAAGGAGAGCTTGACAATTTTCATATTTCTTCTAAATTTGGAGATTTCAGACAATGCTGGGAGGTTTGGCTCAGCCTGCCAAAGCCCATGTGGAAGTCATTAAGTCAGAGAGGGGGAGGGAAGGAGGGAGGGAAGGAGAGGAGGAGGAAGGGAGGAAGGGAGGAAGAAGGGGGGGGAACAACTGAGTTCGTGAGGACGACAGGCCTGTGACTGTTGCCAGTTATGTGCCTGGGAACATGAGCAACATGCTCAGAGAGAGTTGTTTGTAATAATTTCCTTCCTTTCCTCAAAACTTTCTGCTCCACATGGGAAAGGATGAAAAAGAAAAAGTCCTGAGAACTCCAGGCAGGAAGAACCAAATCCTGTCTCCCGCTGATGGGCCTCCTATAGCTGGGAGGAGAAGGATGGGGACTGGGCTTGGGAAGCTTGGAAAAGTGGGGGGGGTTGGTTCAGGGGAACAGTGGAATCCAAGAAGCTGACTTGGAGTCAGGACCATAAAATGGGAAGCACGGCTCGGCTGAGGCTGGTGTTACTCTTCATCTGGAGAGAACTGGGGCGGCTGTAGGATGTCCTGGGAATAGTTCTGGACTCAGATCCCTTAGCTTTGATAGGAGTTTGAGCTGGATGGGACCTTAGAGACCAGTTAGTCCAACCTTCTTGTTTTACAGATCAAGTTAGCCAAGGGTCAGAGAGATAAAGTCATTTGCCCAACTCGGGAGCCAGGTTCAAATCTAAGCTTTACCCTGATTAGTCTAGGCAAGTCACATCATTTCTCTGTGTATCATTTCCTGAGTTTTTGTATGAGTTGATGTACATAAAGTACTTTGCAAGCCTTAAAGCAATATAGAAATCTGAGCATTTACTATTGTTTTCAATCTTGGTTGGTTCTAAGTCATGAAGGGGGAGTATTAACCAAACCCAAACCAAACAAAAAAACTTTTTTGTTAAGATAAGCCAGAATTGCTCATATCCACTAGGAAAGCAAAGTACAAAAGCCAACGTGCATCCACTGTTAGGCACATTTGTCCTTTGTATCACCCACGGACCTGGACACTCCACTAGACTGTAGGAAAAAAATCCCAAGGTGACTTGCCCTCCTTACCTCATAGTTATCACTGAATGCCAGAGTTGGAAGGGATCTTAATCTAAACTCCCCTCCCCCATTTACAGAGAGGGAAACTGAGGTTCCAGTCAGACCCCATCTGGAGTACTGTGTCAATCCATTTTTAGACAGAGCAAGTGAAGGTGACCAAGTTGGAGAGGAGACGAGAAGGAATGTGAGGCTTAGCCTAAGTGAGAGAAGACTTATTCAAGACATTGCCTTCAAATCAACGACCCTCATATGGAAAAGGAATTAAACCTGATCTGCCTTGCCCCAGGGAAGAAAACTACAGTAGAAGTAATTGATAGAAGTTGCAGAAAAACAGATTCTGGCTCATTATTAGAGCTGTCCAAAATTGAAAAAAATAAATGGATTGCCGAAAAAGGGAGTGCATCAACTGAATAATAATATTAGCTAGCATTTATATAACTCTTAAAGATTTGCAAAGAACTTTACAAATATCTCATTTGATCCTCCCAAAAAACCTTGGGAAGTAGGTGCAATAATTATCCACATTTTATAGATGGGGAAACTGAGGCAGGCAGAGGTTAAGTGACTTGACCCAGGTCATGCAGCTAGTATGTGTCAGAGGCTGAATTTGAACTCAGCTCTTCCTGACTCCAGGCTCAGTGCTCCATCTGCTGTGCTACCTAGATACTTTCAAGCAGAATTTAGATGATCACTTGTTGGGTGAATTTTAAAAGGAGGTCGTATTCAAGTGGGTATTGGAGTAAATGACCTGTGACATCTCTTCCATAACTGAAGCTGTATTGTTCTTTGACTCCTTGGCCTGGGCTCTTTCCTATAGGCCCCTAATTCTCTGTGTGATGTTGGTAAAAACAATTTCCCATCGTGACCCCTCAATTTCTTCTCCTGAAAAATGAGAAGGTTGAACTAGAATATTCAGCTCTGTTAGGCTACGTTCTATATTCTCTTATAGGTCTGATGGTCTATATTCTGCTGTAAGGCTCCTTCTATCTTCAGCCTTAGGATCATTGCCCAGGCTGTTTCTACTGCCTGAACCACTCTATCTTTCTTGCTTCTTGGAATGTTTAGTTCCCTTCAAAGCCTAGTTCAAGGTCCATCTCCTACATGAGGCTTTTTCCTGATCTCCCCCAATGTTTAACCAATATCGCTACATGTTTACCTTGAGTATATTTTGTATTTATTTATTGGTGTCCATGCTGCTTCTTTCTTCTATGTAATGTGAGGGCGTTAAGTGCAGGAACCATTTTCATCTGTGTTTTTTTTTCTATTTCCAGTGCCTAGCACAATGCCTTGCACATAGGGAGTATTTAATAAAGATTTACTGAATTGGACAGAATTGAATTCCGTCTCTGACATTCTATGAAATCATTATAATTGATATTTGTTGAGTAATGCCTATGATGTACCAGAGGTGGGGAACCTTCAGCCTCATTGGCCACATGTGGTCCATGAGTCTAGGCACTATCGTGTTTAATCTTATCCAGAGATGAAGCATACCTGAGGGCTAGTGGATGTGATTAGAGATGGCTTCCTGGAGAGGTGAGATTCAAGTGAGTGTTAAAAGTATGGCAAGACTTAGACAAACAGAAAGGAAAAGGCAAGGACAAGGGAAAGAAGGGAAGAGAGTGGATGTGACCGATGACTTAGAGATCAGGAAATGTGCTTTAGTTTCCTGACTCTCAATACATAGCTCTTTCCACTTCATCCATTGCCTCCATTAAATTAGTGGAAAGAATGTAGGACCATGTCAGACAACATGGGTTCTAGTTCCAGGTCCAACACCTATTGACTGAAACCTCGACCAAGTCATTTCTTCTGTCTGAGCCTCAGTTCCCTCCTCTGTAAAAATGGGGATAAATAACTCTTGCTCTGTCTTCCTCATTGAAGAATTGGGATTTAATACTTTTATGGCTCTGTGATCTTATCAGTGTATTTCCTTCCTCCAGTGCTATAGGTTACAACTATTATTGTGATCATAAAGTGTTTTGAAAAAAACATAAAACCTATTAAAATGTTACATTTTTGTCATCATTTCTTTACTAAAGTCCTCTTCTTATTCCTCATCATGAAAGAATACCTATCTCTGGGTTCTCCATGGCTATTAAGAGCTGCAAGTCCAAACCACTTATTCTAAAGACAAGGAAACCAAGACTCAGGGAAGGGGAAGTGACTTACCCAAGGGTGCACACAAAGTTAATGTTGGAGCCTGGGCCCAAACCAAGTCTTCTGGCTCCCAGCCCAGGTTCTTTGCACTGTGTTATGTCTACCTCCCTAGAGACAGTCTGTGTAGGGGAAAAGTGATGGGGAAGGAAAATCATTGCAACCTCTTGAATACCAGGCTAAGGAGTTTGGATATGATCAGATAGGAGAGGGGAGTAGTAGAACCATTGACGTCAAGTATCCTTCTCCATTAGGGAATATTGTATCCCTGGCCACATTTTTCAGCACTGTATCTTATGGCCCCCTGACAAATGGAGTCAGAAGAAGGAGCCATACTCTATACTCTCCTTGCCAAATCCAGACTCTCCCTCTGTCACTGTCACTGGGCAAACTCTGCATCTTTAGGATTCACTGCATCGAGTTCAAAAAGAAACAAAGACAGGAGGGACAGCTTCAGAACCAACATGCTTAATGTATTATATACTTAAAAAAAATCCAAATTGTCTGTAATGGAGAAGTTGCATGTGCAATCTTTTTTTCCTCTTCTTTAAATATAAAGATACTCATCTTTGATAGTGTTCGACAAGTCCAGAAAAACAGAAAATTTTAAAATATATTTTAAGAAAGTTTCCTTCCATCCATCTGTATTACCTCCATGAAGATCCTAGCTGTTCTCACCATTGCCCAGTCTCCTACACCACACCAATCCCTATCCTCATACATGAAAACTCTGATATACTTTTTTATCGTCCCCTCAAATACTCCAGGCTGTCGACTCATCAACCTCCTTACCTACCATGGTCTGCTCTTCATTCTACCTCTGTGACACACAGGATGGTCATACCCTTGATCAAATCAAGATCGTAATCCAGAGGGGCAGCTAGGTGGCATAGTGGATGGAGCACCAGCCCTGAAGTCAGGAGGACCAGTGTTCAAATCCAGCCTCAGACCAAACACTTGACACTTACTAGTTGTATGACCCTGGGTAAGTCACTTAACCCCAATTGCCTAAAAAATAAACAAATAAATAAATAAACAGATCATGATCCAGAAATTTCTCCCTCAGACCATAACTTCTTATTCTCCTAGCATTATCCCCTGCTTTGCTCCTATTTCGTCCTCATCATGACCTCCAGTGACTCCATTACACCCAGTCCATTTCCATTTTCCCAGGCCATCATCCCTGCTCTGGCACCCCTTTCTTCCCTTCACAGTCTTGACCCTATAGTTAATCACTTCAACTGGACATCATCCCCTTCCCTCGAATCTCTTGACCCAGTGCCCCATCATCACATACATCTTGACAAACCACCTCTCTGGCTGACCCCTACCTTTTGTATTCTTGCTTATTTACGTGCTGCCGAATGCTGCTGGTGAAAGTCATTCAGCTGAACCAATTGGCAGTCATGCAAATGCATGTTATGCAGTCTCAGCCGCCCCTCCCTGCCACACAACCATCCTTTTCCTCTTCCCTGATGGACTCTTTATTAAGTTCTCCATATGGTCTCATCTGGTAGAACAGCAGCACCTTGAGGACAGAGTCTGGTTTGTTTCTTGTCTTTGCAGTTCCTGCACCTACCACACTGGAATA